GCTCCCAGCCAGCATCCCCCCTCCCTCCCGGGCAGGACGTGTGTGAGCAGCAGGGTCCCAGGCGTGCCCTGGATCTGCCTGTTGCATCCACATGCCACATAGTCAGGTTGCATGAGGTTGCACGTGCTGCGTACTGCTTCACAGTATGCAGCTCGAACTGCCTGACTGATTCTCCCTTCCTCCCACCCCCAGGCACCCACCTCACCCACTCTTGTGAGTGAGAACTGCAACACTCACTGGAGGATCTGTTGCCGGCCTTGGACAAGGCCCAGGAAACGTCCTGACTGCTGGGCACTGGCTCAAGGTCTGGGCTGTCAGCTGGCCGCGTGTTCTGCCGCTTTGCTTCCTCTCCCTGATCTGCTGGAGACCAGGGAGAGGAAGGGCCCCGTTCGTAACTGCGGATCCGACGTAAGTCGGATCCACGTAACTCGGGGACTGCCTGTACAAAAATAATACATGCATACAAATAGAATAATTGTATTCAGCAAACCATAACTTTTCCTTTGACATGTCACATGATATATTTTGCATAAAATTTGTTGCTTTGGGGTGTCATAGTGAACACCACCTGTTGCTTTTCTGGTGCCTATCCTATCTCCCAGATAGATGCTAGCAGTGATGGAGGGCTCCTCAGCCTCCACTGCTAATAGGTGGAATGGAGGCAATGGAACCTGTTGTGTTATACTCGCGTGGCCTGATGAATTGGGAATACAATGAAGGAGTCATTTTCCTTTCTCCTCATCCCTTCCTTCCTGTGCACATGTCTAGGTCTGGGAATGAATTAGGAGGCTGAGGGGAACAACTTCCTTTTTCAGTTTCTGTTCTACCTAGTTTCTCCATTCCTTTTCTGTACTTCAGTTGAAAAAATTATAAAGGAGATATTTTTCCTTTCAATTGTACTAACCTTTGGTATTATAAGTAACAAAAGCAAATGGAAAAACTTTCAGGTAGAATTATTTTGGAATGAACTTTTAAGTTAAATAAGCAATCATCAGGATCAACCCAATCAATATATTAACATAGATTAAAAATGTACAGGGAATTTATTTATGCATATTTCATCTCAGAATATACACTGGTCTGTAGTTAGCTCTTTTTTTCTTTAACGAGGCTCATAGAATTAAGCCTTGTATGATTATATTGCTCCCAAAGCATTTCAGGGAACAAAGTTACTGTGGCACAATATAGAACTTGTGCACTCAGGATATGATAGTCAGGGAAGCGATATGTAAATGTCTCATTTTAGTTATGATGACTAATAATTGAAACTGGTATTGAAAGTACAGGCAGTCCCCAGGTTACGTGGATCCGACTTACGTCGGATCCCTACTTACGAACGGGGTGAGGGAACCCCGAACTAGCTGCGCCCCCCTCCCCGCTGCCAGCGTCCTCTGCGGCGAGAAAAGCCGCTCCACGTCTCCCTGGTCTGCTGGAGGGGGCCCCCCAGCAGACCAGGGAGACGCAGAGTGGCTTTTCTCGCCGCGGAGGACGCAGGCAGCGAGACCGCCCAGATGTGCCACGGTCCTGCCGCCTGCGTCCTCCACGGCTTTGCTCCACGTCTCCCTGGTCTGCTGGAGGGGGCCCCCCAGCAGACCAGGGAGACGCAGAGTGGCTTTTCTCGCCGCGGAGGACGCAGGCAGCGAGACCGCCCAGATGTGCCACGGTCCTGCCGCCTGCGTCCTCCACGGCTTTGCTCCACGTCTCCCTGGTCTGCTGGAGGGGGCCCCCCAGCAGACCAGGGAGACGCAGAGTGGCTTTTCTCGCCGCGGAGGACGCAGGCAGCGAGACCGCCCAGATGTGCCACGGTCCTGCCGCCTGCGTCCTCCACGGCTTTGCTCCACGTCTCCCTGGTCTGCTGGGGGGGAAGGGGGGGGGCGTAGCTAGTGCGCGCCTCCCCCAGCTGCTCTGCCCCAGGCGTGTCCGATTCAGCCGCTGCTGGTCAGTTTCAACAGCGGCTGAATCTGGACGCCAGTTCCGACTTACATACAAATTCAACTTAAGAACAAACCTACAGTCCCTATCTTGTACGCAACCCAGGGACTGCCTGTAAATGGTAGCTCGAAGCTGTTTCTTTTCTGCTCTGTTGATTTTGTGGTGTTCAGGAACTGTGAATGGATAAGCCTTTTCTCTTACTTAGTTTTGAGAATTCTCCTGTCTTACAGAAGTTGTGTGTTGTTCGAACTTCATTTTGGTTTGGGAATCTGAAGATGGATTTCCCAAAGTTTGAAAGGGTAGCCTGAATTAAGAAGAGTTTGTGGGCATCATGGGTCAAGAATGGAACAACATCTCCTTGAAAAGAAAAATACTTAAGAATTTTCCATAAAATATTTGTGATTGTACCGTTAGTCCAGAAAGGGGAAGTAGCCCAGATGCAGTGGTGTTACCTTGCTGCACCTATCTCTGTGTCAGATTATGGTAGAATTCTCTCTAATTTTTGTGCTGAAATTTTTAGAGAAGAGACATAAGAGCTATCTCAGGCTATGTCTACACTATGGAGTTTTTTTCCAGGATACAGAGGTATCCTGGAAAAACTCCACCGCATTCAGGGAACACATCTGCTCTTCCGCTTTTATTTGTGGCAGAGCAGACACGCTCTTTCAGAAGCCCAGTACTCCTTTCCTGAGGCGG